CCACCACCGCCCACCACCACCACCCACCACCATCCACCACCACCACCACCACCCACCACTACCAACCACTACCAACCACCACAGTCTTGCTCTTCATCTCAATATTTCTCTCCCTCAAGTGACTGTAGGAGAAAAAGCCAGAGAAAAGAGAAAGTAAGGACTGGAATGAGAATTCTCTTTTGCCCTTTGCTTGGTCTCATACTCTTTCCTCTTCCAATAGAGACGACTACGAGGTGTCATGCCCTGAGCTCGACCAGCTAGTTTCTTCTGCGCTGGAGGTGCCCGGGGTCTTCGGCTCCAGGATGACAGGTGGAGGCTTCGGGGGATGCACCGTCACACTGGTTGGTGTTCGGGGATCCCACTGAGGAAGGGCAAAAGGGAAGAGGTTCTGATGAGAGTTATAGTGAGGAGGGAGGGTCGGAGAGGGTCCTTTGAGGCGGGACAGGAGATACAATAGTTGGGGTTGAGGATGGGAGGGTAGAAGAGGTTTGTGGGACTTCTGATGTGTTTTTTGGGGAAGGGGAGAGTATATAGTGCGGGAGAGTATCGTAAGGGAGCATGGGGAAAGGAAATAGTATAATGAGAGAAATATAGCAGAGAAGCATGGGAGAAGAGGAAGCATAGTGTCAAAGTATAAGATGAGGAGAATATGAGAGAGGGAGCAAAGTTGGAGAAAATAACGTGAGGGAGTATGAGAGAGGGATAGTGTAGTTTGAGGGAGAAATTGGGAGGGCAAAATACAGATAAAAAATCCTGTCAAGAATAAAGTTTTAGCACACAAAGATAAGGGAGAGAAGAATTAGCAGTAAACATTACTAAAAGGGCAGTGAATGTTTGATGAGAATGACAGTGATGACATGGATAGAGAATCCAAATGGCAGTGGAATAATTACAAGACAATTATATATGAACTGGTATATGACATTTTTTCTCTCTTTTTCTGCAGGTGAAACAAGAGAGTGTGGAAAGCCTTATCTCTCACACAGTCCAGAAATACAGTGGCAAGCCAACCTTCTATGTGTGCTCACCATCAGAAGGATCACAGACACTTACACTGTAGTTAGTGTTGCGGGAAACCATGTGAAACAGCCAATTAATGTATATTTCTTATTTCGGGGGCAAATATTTTTTAACATTACTATCATGCAAGTATACAATGCAGCAACTCATCATAGAATACATTTTGAATATATTCAGAAATGTGAATATGTTAATTTTTTATCCTCTCTCTCTCTCTCTCTCTCTCTCTCTCTCTCT